TAAATTAGAATTGAATGGGACGACTCGCTGAGGGCTGCGCTCCAGAGCAGGATACAACACGATTCTCTGAGACCCTGGGAGCCAGTTTTCCTTGGGCGAGCCAAGGGCTCACTCCTTTGCGTAAGATTCCTTGCGCTGAAGCTTTTGCAAGGGTTTTAAACATTGCACACTAAACAGGGCAGCATAAATTAGGGGATTTTTCCAAAGCTACTAGCTCTGGGACCGGGTATCCACATCCCCTTGTTGGCTTGGGAAAACTGAGACTGAAGTTGGTTTTGTTTCTCAGTGGGTCTCTTATGATTTATTTCAGAAAAGGGCTCTAAATTATCATGGGCTCGCAGAGATAAGTGGAGTGGATCTTTGGGTAGGATCTTTGGGGATTTGACAAAAAAAATTGTCTCCCTCATTGCATGGGAAACTGAGAAATGAGTTAGCACGGCTTTCAAAGACAGCAAGTAAATCCCTTTTCCACATGACTTCAAATTACATTAAATAGTACTACGAGACGTATAAAATAGTTATTTAAACGATGCTCAAAATGACTGCTCTTCTTTTGAGTTTCCTTGTCAGGCTCAGGGTTCAAAAGCTCCTATGAAGTGGTATTTTAATCACTTTTTTTTTCCACCACCTCCCCCCTGTATTTAACCAGCAGCTTCCACGTCACTGCTGGCTCTCCAAAATGCCTGGTAAAGGAGAATTTGCCCGTTTTCCTTCCAGCTCCCTCCCATCACTCTACCACGATCATTCAGTTGGGATATTGTTCTAAAATAGCCCCTTGAATTTGGGCTCTCGGGAAAACCCTCCCCCAGGAGCTTCAATCACCATGAGATGGGGCTGGGTTGCAATTTAGGATGATGTAAAGGCAGGAGAGATGGGGACCTCTTCTCTCATGTCCATGAAGAGCTGGACATGGGTTATAAGAGAAAAAAACACCCCTCTCTCCCATCCAAAAAGGTTTCTGCAAACTGGATCCTGCCCAGTCGCATCCTTGTGCTGCAAGGGCTGCCCCCATTGGTCAAGTTATACAGAATCATGGGATTGCTTAGTTGGATATGTCAGATAAAATAAAAGTACAGGGCAAAGAGATAAAACCCCGAGCAGCCAAATCACAGAGATTCTCAAAATTGGCTACGTGAGCAATAAGTGCAGGAGCTCGATCCAAAGTGAGCGGCTTAAGGGTATCTGCTGCATCTCATGGCTTGTTTCTGTTGATGCGTTTCCAAACTCCCTTTGCTGTGTCTGGGAACTTGAAAGAACCTGAGCGGAGGGGGGTTTTTTGTGTTTTGTTTTGTTTTGTGTTTTTATTCTCCTCACTGCAATCAGAAAAAGCCAACGCTTGCAACCATCCTCTCCTGCGAGCGCTCCTGTCGCTGCGTTATTGCCAATAGCATGAGTCACCGGCATCCGCCGTGCCTTCGGGCCAGCTTTGGGGAAGCCATCGTTGGTTGGGCTGATGCAAGGCACCCTCCTGCTGTGAGGGAGGTGGCTGGGCGGTAGCAAGGGGGTGCTCGCACCTCGGGAGTGAAGACTTGGGAACCTCCTGGGTGCTGGAAATAGACTTTCACCGGGAAAACTCAGCCAGAAACAACAAACTCCCCATTTTCACAGGTAACCTCAGTCACAACATTGCTGGGACTGTGGTAACAGTGAAAATAAATAAATTCTGTTACGAGCATGGCAAATGCATGGAGATTTGCTTTCCTAAGCCCACAGATGTGGATTGGCACACGTGGGGATCCTGCGGACCGGGGCTGGGCAGGGAGCCCAACTTTGACTTCCAAAGAGCTATGCAAAGTCACACCTGGGAACCGGAGCACAGGCTGCAAATGAGTTAATTAAAGCAAAGAGAAAGGATTCATGTTTAAGGCAGTCATTACCTCCCCAGCTCTTCTAGGAAAGCCTGTTGCTGCAGACAGCAGTAATTAAGTGGAATATTACAAAGGATTTGGAAGAGTAAAGTGAACTACGGTTTAAGCATCAAAACAAGGAAAATTCTTGCAGTATCTCAGTCCCACGCAGTTTCCGTGCTTGGCTTGCATTGCTCACATGCCCTGACCTCCTGAAGCTGCTCTGGGGCTGTGTTTGCCCCCCCAGAATAGGAAAGTTGCCTGCAGAGCGGATGATGATTCGGGAGGCAGGATTTCACAGACTCACACCATGGTAGGGGTTGGAAGGGACCTCTGGAGATCATCAAGTCCCTGATAGAGCAGTCTCATCCAGAGAAGATCACCCACGAACACATCCAGGTGGATTTTGGATGTCTCCAGAGAAGAAGACTCCACAGCCTGGGCCATGCTCTGGTACCCTCACAGTAAATACATTTTTCCTCATGTTGAGGTTGAACCTCCTGTATTCCAGGTTGTGACCATGGGGATGCAGAGCAAAGGGAGGAGGAATGGAGCCAGCTGAGATGTTTGTAGAAGCTCAGCTGCCTCTGAGCACCACTTTTAGACTCTGTTATTTACCTTTTTTAATTCAGTGCAGACTTGAAGGAAGGCATTCAAAACTTTTAAGGTTAGTTAAGGTTAGGTTGTCATTAGCCATATTAATTCCTCACACCCGTGGTGTGTAATTCAGCGTTAGCACAGGCGACTACAGAAATCAAGGTGACTCAGGGTTTATTTTTAACTTTCACTAAATTTTGACCCATGTGTCCATGTTATCCTCTGCGACAGCAGGGAATGAGGAGCTGGGGTTTGTCCATGGACTTTGGTCTGTCCTATGGTGATTCCTTTGCTTTTCTGGGTGCAGGGAGCTTTCCTGCTCCTGTGTTTTGGTGCAGTTTTGGGGAAGGGGTTGAGCGCGTCTGCTGTAAATCAGCCGGGCTGACGTGTGCTTGCTTGCTCTTCCCCATTTTCTGGGCTGAGTTACGTAAAGCAGGGATGTTGAGAGGTCAGGGAAAAGCAAAGCGTCTGCCTCTTTGAAATGCAATAAGGTGTGAGTGTTTGTCTGAGGGTTTTTACCCCTCTTTTTTCTTTTTTACTCTCCTTTTGCAATGACGATTGCCCAAAATACCCACATCGGTTGGTGAGTTGCTCTGCTCCAGCTCACCAAAACTCATCCTCAACCCAGATCATCCTGATAAAATCCTGCATAGGCTTGGTTTTGCTACGTCTTTTTAAGAAAGCAAAAATTAAATATTGGGGTTTTGCCCAAGCTACTGGAGCTGTGAAAAACCCTTCCTGCCATGGAAGGAAGGATTTTTTGGATTAACCCAAATCATATGTTAAGAAATGAATGGTGATTAATTTTGTATTTGTCACTTAATGAGTAACCCCCTGCCTTTCTCCTCCTCATTTCTCCCATTCTTCAGCAACTGATTTCCAGCTTTTCATTATAATTTTATCAGAATTCTGAAACTTTTCCTCCACAGTAAAGCAAAACCCCCCTCCAACTCAGTCTGCTGAAGTCTGGGAATATTTCACGCTACTGGTTGTGGTTTAGGATTAGAAAGATGTAGGAACAAATAAATTACAATCCGGTTTTATTGGACACATTCCACCAAGAGAGAGGAAGGAAAACACGGCGTCGTATCGCTATCATTGAAGTACGTAAAAAGCTGCAATTTTCTCTTTTAATGGTACTTTCCCAAAAACATAAGGATACGGTGGAAGTTTAGAGGAGTAAATTCCATCAGAAAGGGGTAAATAGACTGGGGGCACTGGTGTGCATTTGGGCTCCTGCTCTTCATTGCCTCATTTTTTGTGTCCTAGACTGAAACCTGACTGTGCTTTTCAATTTACCAAACGTTTGTCTTCTGGCAGAAAACCCCGCCTACACTGAGGATGCTGAAATACCCCGAGGAGCAGTGTGGACGTTCAGGCAATTTTTTCAGTTTAATTTTCACTCTCTCAGACTTTCACCTCAATTGCTGCTACCAAGATAGTGGGGAAGGTCAGCGAGACTTGGACCGTTGGATGATATTGGTAATTTTTAAACCATTCCAACAAAACCTAGCATGAGGCAGGACAGTAACCCAGTTTAACTGCAAACACCTACCTTGCTAACCTCAGTTATTATTTAGAATGGATAAGTCCTGTAATTTAGAGAAAAAGCCCTTTTCCATATGCTTTGGATTTTTCATTGGTGGCTCTTGTGACAAAATATACCCACGAGATTACATGTAACGCGTCACTTTCATCAAAGAAGAGAAAGGACAGAAATGGGAGAGTAGTTTAGGTTTCCTTTTTGATAAGCTTGTTGCACATTGAAACTGCATCCCCATGGGTGCTATTTTGCAGATGGAGTTATCTCAGATTGCTCTCCTAAATTATGCTCTGAACTGGCCAGGCTCATGGGACTTCACCCAGTTGTGATGCTCAGCACATCTGGAAAAAACATGGCTTTTGATGCTTGGCTGTGAATGGGGAAAAGAGGGGTTTTCCATCACACTCAACTGACTCAGAAGTGACTTCTAATGGGCTCCTTGCTTCCATAACATGGAATATTTTAAGAGGGGCCTCACATTTGCAAACCACTGCCTGGGATCTCCCAGCAACCTCCTGGGGTATTTCTACATAGCAGAAAAATAACCCGCGTTTCTGGTAAAGAGGAGTTGCTTAACTTGGAGAAGTTTGGTTCGTCCCAGTAGTGAAAACAAAGTGGGCTGAACCAAAGCAAAGATCCCAGCCCATTTTGGCTTCCATAGGCCAGAACTGAGCTAAAAACCCAAGATATTGCAGATTTGTCTTAGCTCATGGTTGACAGATAACCGCAATCACAAACAAGCTCATTCAATGCATAAAAAAACAACCAAAAAAACCCCCAATTCCCCATTCAGAAAATCATTTAGGCCTGTGTTTTCCTTTTAATCCTGTTTGAGATGCTTTGCGAGATTTGGTTAACACGTGCTCCATTGCTTTTCTTGAGCTGTGATCGAAATGCGTAAGAACTACGGTGCGAGAAGCTGGGACAGAGGTGGGTGGAGGGGACGGTGGTGGGCAGGAGCGATACGGGAGCGATGTGGGAGTGATGGTTTTGGAGAGGCTCTGGTGATGGTTTCACTCAGGCTGTGTAGCGTTCTTCAGGCTTTGGCTTTTTATGCTCTTTTTGCTGGAGGAGGTTTTGGAGACAATTTTCACACCTGGGTTGGTGCCTTTTGCACTTCCAGAGCTGAAATTCCCTCCGCTGGTGCTCAAAGCGCTGCCGCCACCTCCTCCTCCGTAGCCAAGGCCACTTGCAGTGCTGAGACCACTGCCTCCTCCAAATCCGCCTCCAAGACCACCACCACCTCCGAGTCCAAGTCCTCCTCCGCTTCCAAAGCTGTAGCCTCCACCACCACCTCCAAGACCAAAACCACTTCCACCTCCTCCTCCAAGAACAAAACTGCTTCCGCCGCCTCCTCCGAGACCAAAACCGCTTCCGCCACCTCCTCCGAGACCAAAACCACTTCCACCGCCTCCTCCACTTAGGCTCATTCCACCAAATCCTCCTCCTAACCCAGCTCCACCAGCCATGCCAGAGCTGGAGCTGATGACAGCTGCAAGACAAAGCAACCAGAGGGTTGGACATCTGCTTGGCAGACACCGGCTTCATTATCAGGACCTTGACCCACAGCAAGCACTAATGGGGCTCTGAACATGTTATACTGGTCAAAACCTCCCTTTTCCCAAGGTTGCTCACAGCCTCTGCTCCCAATGGGCCCAAAACAAGACAAGCACAATGATACTCACAGTAGCTGATGGGGTTGAGTCCCTCTCCGCTCAGCCTGTTGGAGGGCAGATAAAGGGGAGGTTAGTGCAAAATGAAAGAGATGGGCAGGGGGATGAACTGCTGGCAGGAGCAAAGCAATAGTCCCTGTTATCTGGGCAGGGATCTTGCCCCTACCTGCTCTCCTCTCCCTCCAGCAGCTTCCTGTAGGTCACGATCTCGATGTCCAGCGCCAGTTTGACGTTCATTAGCTCCTGGTACTCGCGGAGCTGCCGGGCCATGTCAGCTTTGGCTTTCTGCAGAGCATCCTCCAGCTCAATCATCTTTGCCCTGGCGTCTTTGAGGGCCAACTCCCCACGCTCCTCGGAGTCTCCGATGGCCGTCTGCAGGGTGGCACACTGCAAGAGGAGAGATTGGGACTCCAAAATACTGCTTTTCTTTTTGGGTAAGGGTCACCCAAGGAAGAACACTATTCTGATTGGGTTGTTAATGAAATAAAAAGTCGCAACTGAGGTTATTCAACCAGAGCTGACATTTCTGGAGTTGAAATGCCAGCATGGCAAGAATGATTTTATACATGTTACAGCATGGTACCCTCCTCAAGAGGGAACTCAACACATTTAATGTCATATCAACACATTTAATGTCATATCAACACATTTAATATCATACTTCGTGGCTGGTAAAGTCCCCAATCAGCCAAGCAGAGCTGCAGTGCTAAGGGACCACCATGGGCTCCTTTACCATTCCTACCTGGTTCCTTGTGTTCTCTATCTCTGACCGGATCCTCTGGATCAGCCGGTTGAGCTCAGAGATTTCACCCTTTGTGTTGCGCAGGTCGTCCCCATGCTTCCCAGCCGTGGCCTGCAGCTCCTCAAACTGAGGTTCAGAAGGAAGAATAAACCATCTGGGATGTCCAGGTGGACAAGATGTGGCTCAAACAGCCTCATAGAGGGACAGCCGTAATGTTCCCAGAAATGCACCCATTGCATCTATGGATCTGTTCACCTTGGTTTGGTACCAAGCCTCCGCCTCGGCCCGGCTCCTGTTTGCAATGTCTTCATACTGAGCTTTGACTTCAGCAATGATGCTGCTGAGGTCCAGGTCCCGGTTGTTGTCCATCGACAGAATGACGGCGGTGTCGGACGCTTGTGAACTGAGCTGAGCCAGCTCCTGCGAGGAAGCAGACAGGGTCCTGGCTGGCTCCACTTACCTTTTCACATGCCATGAATGATAACATCTGGGGACAACAGGACCAAAACTGAGGAAGGAGTTGTCTGTACCGCATCATAGAGGGCTCGGAGGAAACTGAGCTCATCGGTCAGGGCATCCACCTTGGCCTCCAGCTCCACCTTATTCATGTAAGCAGCATCCACATCCTGGAAAAGAGCAACCACAGGGACATCTGCAGCACCTGGTACCACTTTAGCTCAGCCAAGAACTGGCCAACCCTGGAGATGAGGCTGCCCCTTTGATGGCTGCTGTGATGCTGCTCGAGTGGAGAAACTGCTTGGCACATCCCCCTGAAAGAGCATCAAGAGGACATCGCTTGGCCAAAAGAAGTGCCATGTGTAACTTTGTTAGTGGGTAAGGAGGGAGGTGCAGGCCATTTGACCTTGGTACCTTGGATTCTTACTGACCTTTTTTGTTTCTACATGGTCTGTTTAGCCCAGGCAAGCACGTGTGTATGTTGTGAGACAAGAATTTACTTCCATTCTCCAAGCCCCTCCATCACTTTCCCCCAAAACCACAATCCAAATGTCAGCTTTTAAAGGATAAGGGTGCAGCTCCAGGAGATCTCCCATCCTTTAGGACATTCCCAGCCTCTGCAATGGTTAGGGTTAGCTCAGCATCCATCACAACCCTGTCTCACCCACCTTCTTCAGCACCACAAATTCATTCTCTGCTGCTGTGCGTCGGTTTATTTCCTCTTCATATCTACAGGGATAAAGGGAAAGACGTGCTGCTCATACCTCAGTGAGCAGAAACATTGTACAGGTAGGACTGCAAGGTTGTTGGGGCTGGGTAGGGCATTTCCAAGTCAACCTCCTGGAAAGTGCCTAGCTCAAATCTGTGGGAATCCCATTTTTCAGGGGTTGAGGTGACATTTTGACATAACTCAGAAGGAACAAGGAGAGTAAAGCTCTTTTAGGTGGTTTTCCTTTGCAAGCATCATCACAAACTGCTGTGTCCTGGCTGAATCTGCATTTCCTGATTGGAAAAGTGTCGACAGATCACCTCTCTGCAGCTGTCTAGGAAGAGGAGTTCTGCAGGGAGTGGTACCTCACAGGAGTGGTATATTAGGGGTGGATTAGTTAGGTATGTTATGGGCTAGAATGCAGACTGCGGATATTTTTTCCCTTTCCTGGAGAAAGTTGAATGAATATCTCAGGCTGGATATTTGACTTTCAGAAGGCTAAATTTAAATGAGATTAATCCTACTGCCTAATGCTAAGCTGATCCATTTGCATCCAGTTTCACCCCAGGGTGCCTGGATGTGCTGTAAACTCACTTGTTCTTGAAATCCTCAACGAGGTCTTGCATGTTCTTCAGCTCCCCGTCCATGCGTCCTCTCTCGTTGAGCAGGTTGGCCAGCTGCCGCTTCAAGTTGTTGATGTAAGCCTCAAAAAGTGGGTCCAGGTTGGTTTTGCCTGAGTTGTTTTTCTGCCCCTGCTCCTGCAGGAGGGTCCATTTGGTCTCAAGGACCTTGTTCTGCTGCTCCAGGAAGCGAACCTGGGCATGGGAAGCAGATGATGTTTAGCAGAAGATATCTATGAGCATGCTGATGGCCAATAATCGGTAAGTGGGACAGATGCATAGCACAAACCAAGGAAATCCCAGACCAAGAGTATTAAATCCAGACATGAATATCCTCCACATGATCTAGGCCTGTGTTAGTCCATCCAGTAGCTGAGCAAATCTGCCCTCAGTGGACAGTTCTCTTTAGAGACAATTTAATTTAGCAAGCCAATGAGCAAGCGCTAGAAAATGTGGGTTCAGCTCTTTCATCACGGCCTTTCTTTAACATCCTTTGGTTTTTCTTTCTTTGTAAGAGATATTTATCTTCCTTCATTAAAGCTAAGATCTGAGTACCACAGGTTAAAAGACAAGTACTTAATTGCCTTTCCTTTTGCTCATATATACTGCGTATTTAGTCAAGTAAAAGCCAAGGAAGGACTTAAGTTGAGTCAATACAAAAAGGACCTTAGCTTGCAGGCATTAAAGCAATAAGGACTAACACATCTGCTGTGATTCCCCACAGAGAGGGTTGGGTTGAGCAACTAGACCTGAACCTGAAATTGGCTTGCTCCATTTGAGTTAATATACCTTATTTCTCAGGTACAAAACCTGGATCTAATCATCTTATTACTGCTTTCTAGTCTAGTTTTCTGCCTTGTCACTGTTTAGAAGAATGCTCTTTTTTAACACTTTAATGAAGACATGCAGACAGGAAATACATAACAGACTGTAGATCTACTAAGTAGGGGTTTTTTGTAGCTACAAGACTGTCTTGCTCCCTCTCTATCACGATTCCACAGCACTTGATGAAGTCTTACCTTGTCAATGAAAGATGCAAACTTGTTGTTGAGGGTCTTGATTTGCTCCTTTTCATCTTTGCGCACCTGTTGGATGTTTGGATCTATCTCCAGGTTCAGCGGTGCCAGGAGGCTCTGGTTGATGGTCACTTCTTGGATTGTACCAATTCCCGGTGGGCCACCACCAAATACCACTGGGTGTCTGGGAGCACCCAGCCCTCCACTGAGTCCTCCCAGCCCCCCTACTCCACCAAAGCCAAGCCCTCCACCCCCTCCTGGTCCACCACCAAAGCCAAGCCCACCAGCACCTCCACCAAAGCCATATCCACCACCTCCACCACCAAGACCAAGTCCAAGGCCGCCACCAGCTCCGCCACCACCCAGTGCATAGCCACCACCACCACCACCACCACCACCACCTCCCAGGCCAGAACCACCACCAGCTCCACTCCCAAAAGCAGCTCGGAAGCTGCTTCCAACACCGATGGCTATCCTCTTGCTAGTACCAAGGTTATAGAGGCTCCTGCTGCCAAAACCACCACCACTGCCACTGCCACCTCCTCCAATGAGCCTTCCAAAACCACCTCCACCTCCTCCAGATCGTGCTACAGACATCGAACTAAAGCCAGCCCGGTTGCCACTTGGAATAATGGCAGAGGCAGCGCTGTAGGACCTGCCTCCACCTCCCGCTCTAATGCTGTAAGGTTGCCGGTTCATCGCAGCAGGAGATACCAGCCCAGCACTGGCGAGAAGCAGCAAACTGAGGGAGTGCAGCTCTCTGATGGAAGGGAGCAGGGGATGCCCTTTTATCCCTCTGGGGATCTGGGCTTGGTTGCATGGAAGTCCAGTGATCAATTTAGTGCCTTCATGGTTTTGACGTGCCAGGCAGCCAGCTGTCTCACTGAAACTTGTTAAACACTGATTGCACTCAAATACACCTATTGGAGCCAATCTGCTCAGCTAGGAGAGTTAGATAACTCCCTGATTTTTTGGCAAGGACAGCTCAGTCTTAGTATGCTTGAAGAGATGTATTATTTTATTTCCTAACTGTGAAGCAAAAGAGAAGAAATTAAGAAAGGTGGAAAAAAAAGAGAAATAGCTACTTGGCTACCCCTATGCTATTCATATGAGAGTCCTCTGAATTAACCTGAGAGGCAGTGAGAATAAAATAGTTAAATCTGAACAAAAATTTTTCATGATGGCAGAGTGCAGGTGTGATGCTCATGGAGCCTGACAGCTCTTTCAGGGCTCAGATTTACGCGGTTCACACCAGTCAGGCAGAGACCGTCTTCTTGAGTTGATGAGCGCAAAGAGGTCCTGATCTATGCTTTTCCTCTCAGACACTACATTTAAATCTCAGCCCTAATTTTGGCCATTTAATATTAGGTATTTAGTCTAAGGCAGGTTTCCTAGGCTTCCTTTCTAGAGATATTGGCACCTCCAGAGGACAACTCCATCCCACCCAGAGGTTGCCGTTGCGATGCCTCCAGCCAGCTGATGATGTGATCGATGCATTTTTCATCTTGATCTAAAAAGCTTTTCAATGAAAGAGGCAGATTTTCTGAAAAACACTTTGCCCGGCTTTTATTTGCATGTTAATATTAAGATGTAATGAGTCTTGAGCTCTTTACAGCTGTGACTTCTTTTAAAGACCTTTGAGCCTTTCCATTCAAAATGTTGCCAAAAGCAAAGATTTAACCAGCATGAAAAATACTCCCACAAATTCTCCTTATTTTACTTCCTGGAGTCCTTGGGAAAAAGAGGAAATTCAATAGGGTGTGGTGACATTTTCTGGCATCTCAGACTTTGTGAAACTACAATGTTTAGAGTATTTTATTCTTTGTGCTTAAGAACTCATTTTCACTGTGTTGCTGTCCTGGTGGCATTGCCCATGCTACGCGCATGACTGCAGCTTAAACGTATTTGCAGAACAGGACTCCACATGTCCTTTAAAATACATTCATGTGCTGCAAAACCATTAAGTATGAGCTAAAATCCCACTGGCATGTCTGGAAGAAAAACTAAGCAGGTGCTTCATGTTCTACCAAATACAAGAGACCAAATATCTGATTATCCTTGGAGAAATGCTGCCAGGCAGGCTCAAACTGGGAGAGTTGGGTCACTCAAACAGCATTTCACATTGCAGTGCGAAATTCCCAGTTGGTACAGGTCATCTTGCTTCTTCTGGGGAAATCTTGGGCTGAAACTGCCTGGGATGGCTCTTGAAATTCATGAAATTCTATTGCCTTGATTATTTGCATAGAATTCAAAGCCCAGGTGTGATGGGAAGATGAGGTTGTCTTCATGCTTTTTTGACCCCGGTAAAGGCAGGTTGTCCTGAGGCTGACAAACGGGTTCACATCAGATATTTCAGCTGAATTAATATAATGGGATTAAAGGTGGGGCTGCCTACAAGAAAGAGGGAATTGTCATTCTAGTCTCCCACACTCTTCTTCCTTCAGCCCACTGTCCACGAGGTATGCGAGCAATGCAAAAGCTGGGTGAAAAATGCACCATTTCTTTACAGGGCTGGTTTATTGCATGGAGGAGATGAGGTTTGTGGGCTCTGTACCAAGGGGCAGATGTGGCTTTTTGCATCTGTCACTTTGGATCAACTCTACTAGACCCTGTCGATCTACCAAAGGGTACATCCAGAGTGACACCGACCAGGATTTGGCCTCCAAACTGCCCCAAAAAACAAGTTCCTGGCCTTTTTTTGCCCGATCTACATGAATGTCTTCAAGCAGGCAGCAGAAAACATGGGTTTTGCAATACATGAGGGTTGAGAAGGGCAAGGACGATCAAAGGTATTCTCCCAGAAATGCAAGAGCTGCTGGGCTGCTTTGGTACCCTGAGGAGCCGGCTGGTTTTTGCTGTGCACGAATTGTTTTGCAGGGAGGTGATCAACATAAATTATGAGTTATTGGGCTACTAGAAGCTTCTCGTTTGGGTGTTTCTGCTTGTTATTTACATACAAATGAAGTGAAGTCCGAGTCGTATGCATTGAGGCAGAAAAGATAAAGACAACCATTTCAAATAGCATCCTTTTTGGGTGGGTGGGTTTTGCCTTCTGAGGCTTTGCCAAGGGCTGATCCATTTGGCTTTCACCACACCCCCTCTAGCCCAGACATTGTTGCTAAGGCATGCCATTTATTAAAAATTGATTAGTGATCTGCTATTTGTTGATCATATCCAATAAACCACCTTGTTTTCCATCAGAAAAGCACTGTGGACGTGGAGAGCCTGAACCCACAGCCTCTGCACTCAACCAGTGGGGTGCTCAACCAGAGATGCTCAACCAGTAGAAACCAGTGGTGGATTCATCATCACCATTGCGGTGTGGACAGACCGATGGTTGAACTCATTCTCCTGCCATGGAGATAGGACAGACAAGCCATGAGTCAAGCAGTGAAGTCTAGGGAGCGGAGTGGACTGTCAGAGAATAAATTACAACACCCGCTCCGTGGTGAACCTTTCATGGGGTAAATTAACCTGCCCACACCCTGCACCACTTCCAGCCTGGGTGAGGAGGGACAGATTTCTCCAAAGGGCAATTCAGAGCAAATGAATTTGTCTCAGGGGCTTTCAGCTGCACCCAGGTGAGCCGTGGGAGGGAAGACGGCAGAGCCGGTTGGTTTTCATGGCATCCAGCTGTGCATCCAGCTGTGCTGGCAAGCCCTTGTTATAGAGACATTCCAGTGGGTCACCATCCCTTGGAGACTGGGGACCCTCGCAGAGAAAAGAGAAGGGGCAATGTCATCTCACCTAAATCCAGTCTCCGAAAATGATGGGAGAGGGTTTCCCCCTTCCTGCAAGGGACATTGGAGAGGGAAGCCCAAGCACATCCTGCAGACCCCACTCTTGGTGTAAGTTCATGTGTTTTAAGGATGGTGGGGAGTTCGAGGAAGAAAGACCCTGATGCTGCATTTTGGGAAGTTATGTTTTTCTCGTTCTTTGTTATAAAATTAGCCTATTCCTGCGAGCAGGTTTCAGGGCTGGGGTGTGGGGTGATTTTCTCTTTTTTATCTCTACCTGAGCTGGTTCTCACTGATTTCTTTAAACAAGGGCCTGGCTGCTTTTTTTGTTGTGTCTCCAGAGGTCCCAGGCAGTGTGAGAGATCCCAAGCGAGCTGCACATCCCCCGAGCGGTTAAATATTTTATTTACACTGTGTTTCCAGACTTCCTTGTGGCCACACTCATCTCTGGATGGAATAAAGCTATGCAAAAGTGCATCAGGAAGGAGAGCAGACAGAGTCTCAAATAAACTTCATTAAAACTCCATTTCTTGCGAGCTACCAACCCCGCCCATTTGGAGATTGGCTTTTGAGAAAATATCTGTGCTTTTGTAATATCAGGGAGGGAAATAAAACCCATGAAGCAAAGCGTGACTTTTGCATGTAGTTTATTGAAGGTACAGCTGAAAGTTTGGAGTAAGCGAAGGATAATCAACTCTGTTCACTTACGCATTAAAAGCATTAAATCCGTCTATCTAGTACACACACAGGAAAAACAACGCATGCACTTAACTACAGAAATATAAGGTGCTCGTCTGTGTGTAATTAAAATCTGCTCAACAAAACCTGGTGTAGCAACTTGGCCAATTTGCATAAGCATTCCCAACCCTCTCGTAAACAGGAAAAATTGGATTTTCTGGTGTCATTAATGGAGTTAAATAATAGCTGCAGCTCCGACTCGGACAATTAAAATGTGGCTTCTCTTTCTGAAGTTGGGATGAGCAAATTTTTCATCCTTTTGCAACAGCTGCAATTGGGACAGAAAATCCCTGTTGAAAAGGGGTCAAGCAGAGGAGACGGAGTTAAGAGCCGCGATGATGTGTGAGGAGAGGTATGGACTCTGAAATGAAAATCTCGCCTGGCTGAGACCTTTTTCCCCCAAAAAGGACATGTGAGAGAAGGTGGGTTTTGATCATGCAAAGAGTTTTCGGTAGAGCAGATAACCTAATAGTGTGGGCATGGGCAGTGCATGGTTGTGTGATCCCTACAGCTGTCAGAAGGAAGGGGAATACTGTTTTATTGCAGAAATGCTGATTATTTTAAAATATGATGTGTTGCTGCTCTCCAGTCTCTACCGGGTTGTTCTGACCATGCGCACAGCTGTGCTGTACCTGCTCCCTGCACTGCACACCCCTGCCCCAGGAATGATGACAGCCCCGGGGCCGCACTGCTCCACACCGGCACAGACGACGTTCCCCAGGTTGCCCATGGCCGGGGCGCACTGCACCCCCTCTGCACCGGGGATGACTTCTCTCCCCACGCAGCTGACCGCGCTCCTGGCCCCAAACCCACCCCCCACCCTAGGGAGGCAATCCACACTCCGGGTGCTAAAGCCGGTGCCGCTGACACCAAAGGAGGAGACCACCCCTAAGCCCCCACCAGGCCCTCCCGTCTTGATGTTGCATTTGCCTCCAATTCCGGATAGGGATCGGCACTCCCCAACGGTGCCACCACCGCTGACCACCGCTGTGGGAGAAAAACAGGCTCAGTCACTCCCAGAGCAGCCAAAACCCAGCTTCTAAAGAAATATATAAGCTTAAAAGACTTGTATGGAAATGAAGGGAATGTTTCATTAGCTTACCTACGCTCACAGGGTTGCCGGTACATATCCTGTTAAGAAAAGAAATGTCTCAAAGATGT